GCTTATTATGGAGCGATATTGTAAAATTTAAGGGTTAAATAGCCGTTTTGAATGGAATTAGGAAGTATAATTATGTACTTCTATTTCATACAAAGTGTGATGTGTAAATAGTTTTTTCGTTAATTATAGAGTTTAGAGTTTTTGTCTTTTCGACATGCACTTATACCGTAATTATATAAGTTTTTTTTTATTTTTTTTTTATTTTTTTTTTATTTTTTTTTTATCTAAGAATTATAACTTCCTAGCCATGATTGTATATGTTTCGTGATCTCATTCAATACATTTAACAACTCTATTTCCGTTTATTACTTTTTTCTCAATCTTCTAATATATAGTTGTTTCAATTGAACTCACAGTTATCCGTTACTGTAAAGGGTATATAGCTAGTAGCCTAAATGCCTAATACTATTTTTATTGACCATGTAACTAGACATGACTACCAATATGAGTCCCATCCAACAAAAAAAATATATGGGGGAAAAGTGGGTCAGAGAAGGCCTTTCGGTGGCTAATAAGTTAGGTTCCAATGGCTAGATCTATCATGTTCAAAATTAGCACCAATAGATATACATGATTATTCCATTTGCTTACGCAAGGTTTTTGAAAATAAGGCTTTTTTGCTACCTTATATAATGTCGTTTTATGTTTCTGTAATGAAATTCAGCAACCATTTTCAATTCACCATGATTCTAGGACTTAAACCTAACATATTGGCTCTTTTCTTTTATTATATGTCTCTTTTACTATTTTTAAATGAAAGGCATATATCTTCATTCTTTCATGCATGTAAATATGTAATAGTTTTTCTTATGATTGTCTTGTAAGTTATCACTTTGTTTTTGTTAAAATAAATGTATCTATAAAATAGAAAAGGGTTTAGTTTTAGTAATTATTAATCAGGAAAATAAATAAAGTAATGGCTATCATTAATTCATTATACATTCATTTTATTACTCCATATCAAATTATTCCTCTTTCAAATAATTCTAAATATTTAAACATAAATGGCTCGTTGCGCAATTTCTGCTCTAAATATTCATTTCTTGATACAATTAACGTACAATTTACTTTGATCCAACAAAAATTCCAAATTGTTTTGTAAATTGTAAAATTATTTGTAACATATGTTTTGCTATATCATACAAATGTGAGAAAAAAAAAGTTCCAACTTGAAAAGATTTATATAGCTAAGTATTTATAAGGATCGGACTAAGATACAAAACAACAATCTTGTTAAAAAAGGATCCAAACAAAAATGGATCGGAGCATTATTCACATAAAAGTCTAGAGGTATATTTGTACTCTTTTATTTTGTTTCAATGAATTTTACACTAGGGAGATGGCCTACGATTTTCAGTTATTGTATATTTTTCACAAAGATTTGTACAAAAAAGGTTGATATTATCATTATTCATATATTCATAGCTTAATATTACACAATTTAACATGCGCGATCTCTTGGATTTCGCCACAAAAAGATATAAAATCTTGAGTTATAATAAATAATTCTACTTTATGAAATAATAGCTTCTAGCATGAGATGTATATGATCGTGTAATGGTATATCCCAGTGTAAAAAAGTCTTGAATGAATCATATTTCATTAGTCCCTAAGTTTGACTTACTGAATACTTAACAAATTCACTAAGATAGAAACTTGGGAGGTTGCTAGAAATAGCCAATAACTAGGGATTCTAGGAGTATTATGTATGAACATGAGTGAATCATAGTGAGGGTACCCTTAAGAGAGACTGCACAAAGCACAGCAGCACACAACTCCAAACATTGAATGATGATATCAAACACAAACTAAACAAGATTTATCTCGGTTCACCCTAACTCCCTTTCAAACAACTAAATAATCGGTCACTTTCTAAATGTTTGTAAGTTCAAATTTGAAAATATTTTCATACTACAATTCACTTCTTCAATAATTATAAAGAAAAATAGCGTTACATTATTGTTGTATTGGCTACATACATGTAAGCTAAGATTTTATAAAGTGAAAGGTTTTATTTTAACACAGATTCATAGTGTAAATTGACTTAAATTGACTTCCAGCCACATCGATGTGACTTAAAATCTTAATTCATAGAGAATTTTAAGTTAAATTAAAATTTAAAACTTAATCATACAGCTTTCAATGTTGTTAAATATTTATTATCTTAACTTTTCATCTTTATATTTTAATAACCCTTTTATTCAAATAAATCATTTTTGTTTCTATTAGATATGGTAAAATCTCTTATCTTTTTGACATACTCATATTATACCAAGCCAACATGCATGCTAATTTGACCTTAAATTCAGTGCGATCAAATATCAATTCATTAAAGTTCCAAGGGTTTTCAAAATACTCCCACTAGAGAATCATTTTTTATTTTATTTTTTTTCCCCTTGGTCCCACCTAATAAAATTTGTAGATGCACCATCACTTGATAAGCCCTATAAATACTCTTTCCCATTGATCAATTTCTTCATCAACTTTTCTCAGCTTATTCACTTGCCTTATTTGCTTTCTTTTAACACCCTTGTCTTGTTTTCTTTTTAATCACTTTTCATCATTTTACTCAAATTCCTTCATAGCCATGGCCACTGTCCAGGTAAAATAATAATTCAATATCAATTCCTCAGTTCCTCTATTATTGTTTTATCAATCTAGTTATTTCTTATGATATACAACAAAATTAAAGATTAATTAATTTAATACTCCTAATATTTCTTGTGTCGCGTTGTACTATAATCGTAGTAACTAAATTTAGACAGAGGGAGTATGTAGTGATGCAGTACTATATGTCTATATATGTTGATTCAGTACAATATGTATACCCAATAATTGTACTTGAGTGTTCCTTCCTAGTATTTTTAACTATTTTAAATCCTCTCACTAGCTAAATTTATACAGTATTTGAAAACATAATTTATCAAGGTTTTTGATCATGTGCTTGTTTAATAAGGATTGCATACATCTTAAGGTTTTTTACTGCCATTCGTGGTGCATGATTACAAAATAGTACGGAGTTCTCATTTGCCACATCCGTTTATACAATAGATGCATCAGTTTGATTTTTCAAACTATCCCTGCACTAACTTTGAGTATGATTGATAGCTAACATCTAAAATTGAATTTCGTTTTTTTTAATTGTTATTGTTGAGTTAACCTCTACGTATTCAATCAAAATAATGCAGATATTGAGAAACATATTTAATTATTGATATGTAGCAACAAATTGTTGGTCCACTAGCAACTTCATCTAGATCCATATTGTTTTTCTTAGTTAATTATGTTTCGGGTAAAATCAATGGGACCTTCGGCAAGGTCCTTTTTGGTGGGCTGAAGATTGATCTCAGTCCGAGTGATGACTAGGCCGAGGGTTTCCTAACAGCAGACACACATAAACTGGCCTCGGAGGTGTTGCTGAGGAAGGCCCCTCCGATGCCGAAGTCAGTACAACGTTTAGAAATAGAAAGCTGTGCAAGAGTATTAATTGCTTGAGGCTTAATGTGTATGATTGTAGAGAGAGGATTAAATGCTTTTATACCTTTTTTCAATAGATAAGTGGGTCATGAATCAAGTGGGCTTGCCACACTGACCGGGCCTTAACTGACTTGACATGGTTTGGAGAGTTGAACCTTAGCCTTGGGCTTTGTAATTGAATCATTTATGGACCGGCCCAATTGAAGTAAATTGGACTCAAACAAATTATTTTCTTAAGGTTAAACTTGAACAGGTTGCTTCAGCTCAAAATGCACTGCCACAGGAGAAGAAAGTGGAGGAACCAGCAAAAACTTCACCACAATTAGAAGAAGAGAAGGCAGCAGAAGTCGCCGAGCCAGAGCAGCCTAAGGTTGACTCTGCAGAAGAGAAACAGTCCGCGCCACCAACATCAGTAAAAGGTGAAAAAAACTGAAAATACTGCAGTACAAGAAGACGCGAAAACTGAGGAAGAGCAACAACAGCCAGCAGAACCTGCTGCAGTTGAAGCAGAAAATGTTGCAGAACAAGAAAAAGAAAACACTGAAACAAAGGATGATGATCAAGCAGTCGAGGAGGCTAAGAAAGCAATAGAAGAGCTGGAGGTTGAGGACAAGAAGTCGTCTACTCCTGTCGAGGAGTCCTCAAAGGTGGCACCAGAGCCTGTGGTAGAGGAAAGCAAAAAGGAAAACAAGGAAGCAGAAGTCAAGGAAGCAAGGGAGGAAACTACAGTGAAGCAGGATGACACTGCAGAAGCGAAGAAGCCGGCTGAGAAGAGTGATGAAGTGAAGGCTGGTCCTGCTGCAGCACCTGCAGAACCAGAAGCAGAGGCTGCTGTTGCTGTTATTGAGGCTGATACTGCATGATTTGGAAAAAAACTTCCGTTTCCTGAGATTATGTAACGGATTTACCTTTCCTTTTAATTTGTGTGTGCATGTTAAATTAGAGGAATATGTTATATTGGTCAGCTATATGTATTATGTAGTAATGGTTGTAATTTCGATGTGGTCGAATTAAGCCCATTTTGGTGAAATAAGGATGTAATGAGCTTTTATCAGACTTTTGTATGTTCATCCAAGATGGGCAGTATAATTCTGGCTCGCTATTAGATCAATAAAATACGGTGTATTGTGTTTTATACTTGTTTAGAGTAAATTCACTGTCCTTTATATTAGATTGAACATACTCTATTTGACCTGCTAACAATCTTCTAAATTGTTTGTGTCAAAATCCTTAACAAATTACTCCATGTCTTTGTCTATGATATGATAAATTTACTGTCCAGCAATATGAAATATGAGTTCATCTTCTATGATTTAAAAAGTTACAAGACATGTACTAAAATTATTATACACCCAAAGCACACAAAAAGTTTTGTAGACTTTTTATGACTTGCAGATTATATTTGTAAATTAACAAATATGCCTAGTCAATATTGTACAAGACAAACCTAGATATATTAAGATTTGTAAGACACAAAACAATCGCGGTGGTAGTCCTTTTATAAATTTACATACTAGTTTTTTATTTATTATGTTATATAAAGGTCCAAAACAAAGCTAAGGATATTATTAATTCAATATATCAATATATTGATACCTATTGTAAAAAATAGGATGGGTCTACCACTGCTGGCCACTTATCTGAGAAAAGCAGAAAACTTCTAAGAGGCTAACCACATTCTGTGTCTAAATGTGTCATTACAGCATAGAGGTAAATTGACAATAAAAAGTGATAAAAATGGCCATCAACCTTCCAGGCAATTCCTCATTCACGGCGCCGGGAAGAGGCAGAGATGAAATTTATGTAGCCACAACGCCTCTACGGGCAACCAAGGGACCTGCTCAATTACTCATGTCTGCTGCCTATTCTCTCAACTTGTGGAATCTTCAGCATTTCATGCTCATCATCAAACCATCCATAACTTCTGCCTCTCCTCCTTCAAATTGCCAGGTTGCTCTCTTCCATATCACCCCCTCCCCCAAATAAAAAGTTCGGAAAATTATTTCATGCTCCCGGGAGCACTAAGCATGATGCTCCGCCATAGTGTACAGGACTCGTGATTCACGTGTGTCACTATGGTGATCTTAGGAGCACAATATAGAAATTGACATTGCTTATTGGTGGATAGTTTTATTGAAGAGATCAGACTTGATCAAGTTGTCCTTATCCTGTAGAATGGTTATTGTTTGCAGGGCTTAGTGTTTGATTTTCAGCCTCAGGATCCTGAAAACATATATGTGGCTCTGGCTGCCTTATCTGGTAGAGCTATCCCAGGTAAGCGGATACTGTGAATTACTCGTGCTGCGGTTCATCGCATTTGTTTTACTCCATAACCCGCAGCACTGCACGAATTTGTAACTCTCTTTTGTTAATCATCTTGATTGTTTAGGAAATATTCTGGTAAGGAAAATTAGCAAGATTCCTAAGAAAAAGTGTTGGTACATTGGTTCATCCAAGTTATCAAATGCTGTAGAAGCTGCCTATAAGTTCAACAGCAGCTGGCAAACTGATTTACGCCTTGGCCACCATGATTGTCGTCACTATACCAATGGTACACTCTGTTCCCCGCTTTATCAACGACTAATAATAATGAGCTCTTTCGAGGCAGCAAGTAGTACTACCTTTGTCTAGTATTAGCCGTCACATTATCTCATTTCTTGTCTGAAAAATCTCTGTATATCTGCTTGCTAGGACTGGCTGAAATGTTGATTGGGAAGAAAAATGTACTGGAGCACCTTCAGGAGAATCAACAGGGAATGGATTATTAGATGAGGCCATGTCTCATGTGTATTTTCATACAGCAAACTCTCTAGGCCACGTCTGGCTACAATAGAAACTCCCTTGCTCGCCTATGAACCGAGTTTAGCATAAATTCACACGGACAGCTTATAGTTGCTACTTGCCATCTTGCTGATTTAGTGGCATAATTTTGACATAATAATTTAAAGTATTCACTGAGGCTTGCATGCATTTTGAGAGCACTTATATACATTGCCATCAGCTTGAACTCGTTTACAGCTTGAACTCGTGAATTTGAGTGAAAATTCAACATTGAGCACACAAATTTTCGAGTTGAGCGTAGTATCAGACTCACTGAGTACAGCTCGAGCTAAGTCAATTCAAGCTCAACATGCATCGTCATCATTCATGGTCAAAATTATGATGTCTTCTGTTTAGATTTGAACTTAGCAAAAGCGAAAGATGTAGAAAAAACGAACCTTCAAGGTCTGCTGTAGAATGGAGTTACAAATTCATGCTTCAAGCGTTGTCTTAATATAGCATAGAGAAATGCAGGACGGCCAGGATCAATCACAACAATTGGCAATTGTATGCCAAATGTACAAAACAAAGTCCTCCCAGCACACCAAAAGCTGTAAAAGGCTTGATCAATTAACATTGCCAAATTAGAATCACTAGACATTAGACAATCATATAAGAATTACACAAACTAACAAGTCCTCAATCTAGAACCAACAACAGTGATTCTACCAAGCCTTGCCCAATCTACAAAGAAAGTAATGCTTCCACCTTCGCTACCGGATCTTCCTCCTTTTTAGGGGGTGGACTTCTATTAGCCTCGTCATACAAGTCATGCTTCCACTTCTCAGCCTGGGAACCACTTGAACGATACCCTTGTCTTCCACCAAAATTCTCCCTCCCCCTGAATTTGCCATTATCATCAGCACCATTAAACCTGCCTCTGGGAGGAAAGCCAGTATTTTCAACTCGTCCTCGGTTTGAAAACGACCTCTCCTTTACATATCCTCGGTCATGCTCGTTTCTTTCCAAAGGGCGACGATCATGAGCTCTGTGTTCCCATCTTCCAGTACCACCAGTAGAGCTAGCAGGATGGTCAAACTTACTAGGTTCAGGAACAGCATTATCTACATCCTCAGACTTCAGAGGAAGTTTCTCCTCTCTAAATGGCCGTCTTTTTTTTGGTAGGTGGATGTGCATCAGATTCTGCTTCTAAAAATTTATCGTGTTGCCAGGCATGGTTGTCACCACCTTGAGCTCGAGCTTTTTCCTCCCTTACTTTTGGATTAGAAGGTGCTGATCTATGTGCTGCTCGGTCTTCGTCCCTGGAATCGCTCCACCATCCACGTTCTATGCAGAATAGAGAGCAAAATGAATTAACCAACAAATTTAGATGCATAACAAAAGTGATTCGAATTAAGAAAAGAATGTCAAGATATCTAGTTTGAAGTGTATAGGGGAAGGGACTTTGAGGACTTTTTCCAATTCTCCAAGAATTATTGATAAGCCGTAGATCCTTATGATATTATAGAGTTTCTCAAAAGTACAATGAAATACAAGGAAGCAGAAAATAATGAGTCTCTGACACCCAAGTCAATGGTTTAGTTTGTGGAGTGAATAATTTGCTCAAAGTAAAGCCTTCATCTCTTGCAATCAACTTAATGCATATATCCTGGTGCCTCAGCTACTCCAATCCAACAAAAGCTCTGAAATTTTCATCATCAGCGAAACTGTGACAAGTGCCTGCTACGTTTCTAGTCCCTCATCATAATCCATACTTCCGTCCTCCAGCTACCAACTTATATGCCTTAATTCAATCCCTTCTTTCCCTTCAGTCTAATGGCAGTAAGCACTAAAGTCTAGACTATTAAGTTACCTGATACTTTTCGATACTAATTACCATCCTCTCCCACTGACGAAGTACAGCAGCCAAAAAAATCAAATGGGGATTTAAAGAGTACCTTGAAAAACTTAGTAACATAAGAGTACCTTGAAAAGCTCGGACAGTCAGTAATTTGGGTCTTTTTATTCGCTGGAAATTTACTTTTGGGTTTTGTGATGGAAAGGTTCCCCTGGTTTCTTTATTGCCCCTTGTCCTTTTTTCAATAATTTCCCACCTCAGATTAGAACATGAAAGGAAAAATAAATAGGGTAAAGGGAAAGAGAAAATTTGAGAATTAAAACCCGCAACCTCAAAGAGAATTCCAGCCATAAACGAGCTCAAATGGCCACCAAATACTTATTAAATACTCTTTTGTACCTAATCTGGTAAAAGGATTATTCAACTTTTAAGATACCCATCTGACAATCCGGCCGATTATAAGCTCTTCCAAACAACCACTTTCATACAGTAAACCTTTGACTTCTAAATCACTCTCCACCCCTGCAGGGTGAATCCGCCATCAGCGTTGATTTCAAACAAAAGATAAGGAGAAAGAGGGGGGGGGGGGGGGGGGGGAGGGGGATGGGAAGGAAGGTAGAAACTGAGAAGTGTTTATAGTCAAGGAGAGGACAAGCAAAGCAAGGGTGCAAATCTTACAGTTGTCTACTCCCACATCAAGAAAACCCTCGCCCATGAACTTCCCCATGATAATGGTATGACTACATTCTAACTGTGTCAAGTTATACCGTTATAAGGTCACATTGTAGCTTTATTATCATCCTATGAGAAGCATCTAGTACAATGTCAGAAATTATGTGGGTCACATGACTCGTATCCCTGCATCCTCAAAACTAAGAAGTAAGAACATTTTTAAAGTGGAAAGGTAGCAATAATGAAATTGTGATAAAAAAAAAAAATAAATAATAAACAAGAAAAGCAACCACAAGTTAAGAAAGAAAAAAACCCACCAGATGTTGATCTGCGTCCAGAGCGGCTGCCATCTCGGGCGGCAGTTCGGCGGTCATCATGCTGTTACAAGACATGAAGAGGCAAGCCTAATATAGTTACACTTACACGGGGGCACTGAAATCATTGGATGAACAAGTACCCTCCTAGTTCAGCCCAGTAAATGGATTTGCAAACACTGAATAACCACCAAGTGATCAAACTCATAGATATGCCTATTTGAACAAATAGCACATTCAGAATAATACAGACGTATTCATATCCATGCTAATATCATTATACTGGATATTTGCATGGTTAAAGCACAAAATAAATCAGTTTCTAGCCTTAATAACTTGTCCAAGCACTGTAGAAACATAAGACTTCATCCAGCACACATGCACATGTGCACACACACGTACATAATTTTTAAGACATATTTCTTCCTGAAAACTCTCAATTTACTTAAACACATGTGAGTCCATAGAATGGAAATGATTTTGGCTGAGAGGAACCTTTTATTGCAAGGATCCACAAGGATCACACCTCCACCAGTCCACCTACCTCAATACCTAATTTGTCCCTAATAATCCAGGTAACCCAGTGGAAAATATAGGTGGACTGGTAGAAGAGAATTCAGACAATGACTTTGTAGAGAAATCTGATGAAGAGGAAGTAGAAATAAAAGAGAAATGCAGGATGGGGTGTTCCTTACCTCTTAATGGAGAAGCTAATGAAGGGTTGGGAGTAGGGGTGCTTATGATGCGAGTCGAGTTTGAGTTTGGGGTAGCTCGACTCGACTCGACTCGTTAACATATCGAGTTGAGCTTAATCGAGTTAAGTTTTGACTGAGCTTTGACCAAATTTGACCGAGTCGAGCTTTGACCGAGTCGATTTCGAGTAGCTTGCAATTTGATCCGTCTTAGTAGAACTCTCTATTTAGTGTAACATCTCTTCATTCTCTTTAATTTTTTCATTTGAGAATAATACATATGATGATACGAGTACATAAATAACGTTTTATTTTTTAATTATTAATGTAAAAAAAAGTTTTTTTATCAAAATATTTAAATTTTTAGTGAATATAATATTATATAAAGGAATTCGAGGTTCTCATGAGCTTTTGAGTCGAATAATGGGCTACTCGACTCGACTCATTAACATTTCGAGTCAATCTCGAGCTCACTCGAGTCGAGTTTTGACCGAGTCGAACTCGAGTACCTCGCAAATTGTCTCGTCTCATTAGCACCCCTGGTTGGGAGAAGGAGAAATGAGGCTATCCATACTGAGGAACCCATTAATGAATCATTTGAAGAGGAAGTATTTGAAAATAAACCTCCTTTAAAGAGTAGATGAAAATGAAGAGTAGGTTTTTTATGAAATCAATTAATCCGCCTCAAAGATGGAGAGTTTTAGAGTTAGATGGTTAGGCTCCTAATGGAAAAGATAATATTTATTTAATTTACTTTTAATGCAACAAGATTGCAGCATGTCATTTAAGACTTATTTGTTCCATTATATATTTATCAATATTTGTCTCGTTTACTTTTAATGTAATAAGATTGTAGCATGTTTAAATTTTTTTTCCTTAAGCAATAAAACCATGCATGAATATATACCGATGAGTACATTCATAAATAATATTTGTTTCATTTACTTGATTTATTCTATTAGCTGTCATATATGTAGTCAAACAATATTTTATTTAGATAAGCAATTTTTTTACTAATGTTCGTAGCATACTAACTGAAAAAATTGAATAGATAATAAATCATATTGGTCTTATATGATCACGCAATACTCCTCAATTTTTTATTTCCTCTTGATCGGGTTCCTCTAAACTTTCATTTTTCTGATTTCTTCCTATTACATACCAGTCTAGATTGTTTATCAGGGAAACAGAGAATTGAAGTGGAAAAGTATGGGGTGGAGGTGCTCATGTGGGAACTGGCAATTTCAACTCTATAGACTCAGACACATGTAAGTAATTTGAGAGTATTTAAGAAAGCAAAGCATTTGGTAGACTTGATAGCTGGTCAAAGCACATATCGAACCATAAGCATGAAAGCATCCCACACATGTACGCGCACATGCACATGCACGCACATGCAACTCACGCGCACACAAACACATGATTCTTACTACACCTCTCTTCCTAAAGAGACTCGAACTATTTACCCACACAAGAAAGATCCTTACCACACCTCTCTTCCTTATAACTCCCAAATATTTTGTTTCCTATTGCAGAACATTTTTAGGCACGTTAAGAACTAAAACCCACAGTATCATGAAAATTGGTGAAACCTATTCTATGTTAAGAAAAGGGATATAGACTTCCATTTCGGTAATGTTTCAAGTCACCATTCACAAGGCCTTTTTGTAATTTCTTTAAAACTTGTGCCCAACACAGTGTCCTTGTATAATCACTTCACCATATTAATTAGGTGTAACTTCACTATAGAGTATAGAACAGTAATCTCATTATGGACCTCTCTACAGATCCACTTATAACCAGAAAAGGTGCAATGTTCATAAATCTCTCTGACCTCCCCACTAGCCACTGCTGCCACTCTTTTCCCTTCTTACCAGAAAAAAAAAAAAAATTAGAAAATAATGCATAGAGCATTGCTTCCTATATCATGATACAAAACATCTACCCTCCATAATATAAATCTATCCCATCTAATTATAAACTAAAAGTTAAACCCATTGGAGACCCCATAGGCTGCAAGCTCTTACAAAAATGTAGATAATTTTTGGGAGCGAAAGAAAGTATGATTCATGATTATAAGTACTCCATAGTCCATACCCTCTTTCCAGCCAAAAAAAAGAACAAATAACAAGGTACCCAAAGCTTTAGTTAACAGAGAATAGAAACAGCTAGGGTACGATTTTAAAAAGGAGAAGAAGGAGGAAGATTCCATTGACGGTCGAACAAAATAATAATAATTGCCAGCACTTTTTATTGATAATAACTTCAAAGAAAGCAGTTCAACTTGCACATGGTGCACAACCATAGGTTAGCATAGAGCATGAAAGAAGACAATATACTACTCTGCCTTAAAACAGAGCTGTAAAGGACAGACATAATGGAAGGACATTACATTTGTTTGTATTGTGGGTGGTCTGAGCATGCCTATTCTATTGGTTGTAAATCTGCTCAGCTACATCCACTGTATGTAACAAAAACTATTCTTTTGGAGATAAAATCGATCATTTGATTTATTTTAGGAATTTTGTTGCAAACAACCTAATAAAAATCAAAATTTGAGAAACCACCTAAAAAAAATGTTATAGCAAACCACTTTTTAAAAATTATTTGTTGCAATTTGCCACCTTTCGCTGGAGTATGTGACATTGACCAAACATTCCGGTTTTAATTGAGCATGTGCGAGGCACATGACTTCATTTAATAATCCCCAAAATTAGGAAATGTTTTTAGAAAGCACCTTTTAAAAACCAGAATTCGTGAGAAACCAAATTACAAAAAATAATGTTGTAAAAAACACACCTTTTTATAAATATTGTTTCTTTCTTTGACAAAATCTCCCTTTATTCCTTTAACAATCTAGGGTTTGATAATAGAATTGTGAATGGGGGAAACGTGTTGTAATTTTGGGTACAATGTCTCACTTTCTTGCAAACACCAAGTGTTGATGCGGTGTTCTAATTGCAAGGTTGAAGTCATGGGCTCATAAAATCCAAGTTGTAGATTTAAAGTTAGAATAATTTACAATCCCGACACCACGTACACTTACGAAGAACACGCAAAACAAAGAAGAAGGAACAACCAAACAAATAGGACGAGAGTAAAAAAGCACATCTTATTTGGGGCGTTTATTTATTTACATTTTATTAAAAAAAAATAAAAATAAAATAAAATAAAATAAAATTGGTTTCTAACAACATTTTTTTTTATAAGATGGTTTTTCACATATTTTGGTTATTAAAAGGTGTTCTCTGGCAAATATTCCCAATTGAGGTAGGTTTAATGCAGTCATGAACCTCACACATGCTCAATCAATGTCAGAGAATTTGAAAACATCCTCTTTTCTGGCAGCAGGTGGTAATTACATCAATTTTTTTTTAAAAAGGCGGTTTCTTTCGACATTTTTTTATAAGGTGATTTCTCGCAAATTTTGGTTTGTAAAAGGTGGTTTATGACATAATTTCCTTCATTTTGATTGCCACTTCATTTTAATTGCCAACAAAAAAAAAAAGAATGGAAATACAGAGCATGGCAAACAGATTGAATAAATAAGTGATACACATAAGTACATTGCAGAAATATATAATTGCAAAAGAGAATCAAAAAGATCAAAAGATTTCTTTTTTTTTAAGGAAACCTGACGATAAGATCCACGGGAGACTGCTGGTGGATTAGACTGAATGGTTCTTTCACTTATTCCATTAGTCTTGCTCTCCAACATGGAACTTGCATCTTTGACATCCTGCTTGGATTCAGAAGCCGGTGAAATTTCAAGCAGTAAAGCATCTTGACGCCGATGCCTGTGATTTTTATCTATATCTAGATCCTTATCAACAACTTCTGATTTAAGTTTGTTGGGACTTTTCTCTGTAGGCATTTTCCCTTTGCTATCAAACGTTCTGACTAAGAACCAATCTGACATGAGGATCAACTTACTATTATTTTCCCAACTAGAAAGTTAGACAATATCATTCTGCTAGTAAACAGGACAGGTCAAAAAACGAAAAGGAAAAAAAAATACACAAATAGATCCATATTACATAAGCTATAAACATACTAGAACACAATCCTTACAAAGAAAATGCAATCAGACAATATCATAGACCTAATATCTCTGAGATAGAACTCAATTCCCACCAGTCACATAAATGAGGAGTTAGCAACCTTCCCAGTGAGCACGGAGACTCTTGCCCATGATCATCAATCATGAATTTCCTCTTAATCAAATGCAACCCCCAACAAAGCCCAAATATCTTGAGCTAAATAAATCAATGACATGAGAGTTGAGAGTCTCGAGTCTATTAAAGTAATTGCTTTCCTTTCGATCAAATGCAACCCCATACAAAGCCCAAATATCTTGGGCTAAATCAATCAATGACATGAGACTTGAGACTTGAGAGCCTATTAAAGTAACCGCTTTCCTTTCAATCAAATGCAACCCCAAACAAAGCCCAAATATATTGAGCTAAATTAATCAATAACTCGAGAGTTGAGAGTCGAGAGTCTCAAGACTATCAAAGTAAATGCTTTCCTTTCAAACAGATTCAACCCCAAACAAAGCCCTAAATTGGTCAATGCAGAAAATATATTTGAACCCAAGAAACTCCTGTCAATCCTAAACATGTGGTGCCAGAATCTAACCCTAATTTCCAACAGCAGGTAAAATTAAATTGGGTTTCCATAATAAACAAACAAACTCATTGAGAACAACCAACAGTCGAAATCATATAATGCGCCTCAGTAAACGCTCGATTTTAACAATATTAAAAAAAAAAAAAAAAAAAAAAAAAAAAAAAAAAAAAAAACCCAACTCTGAAATTTCAATATACAACCAATCCACTCAAAATCAAAAGCGATAATCCAACAATTCACAAATTCAATTGAATTGAAATAAAAAAAACACGCATGGTAATAGTAAATTAAAACTAAAAAATCAAAGTCACAATTATAAGAAATTTGAAAAATTGAATGTAATAGTCCAGAGAAATACCTGAATCAGAGAGGATGACGGGAGTTTAGTGAAGAAGATAATTGAGCAAAATCGGAATTTAAGGTTGAATTATCTGAAAAATTAGGGTTTGAGAGCGTCAGTATTTGAGTTTGAGCTCAAGCGTCGAGACAGTTGAGGACCGGATAATTTGTCAAAAACTTATGGTCTGGATTAGGGGTGGGACTTTTCAGACCGAACCGTGAAACCGCCCGTTACCGAACCGAACCATTACGGACCGATCCGTTTATAAATCGATAAATATAAACCGAAAACCGAACTGAACAGTTCAATATCAAACCGAAACCAAATTGAACCGCTCAATGTCAACCCGTTACGGACCGTAAACCGATAACAAACCAAACTGCGCAAATCCGAACCGAAACGAAACCGAACCGAATGGTTTATAAACCCGTTAATGACCCGAACCGTTTATAAGCCGAAACCGTTTAAACCGAAAAAAAAAACCGTTTAAAACCGAACCATTTGTAACCCGCTAACCGTTTAAACCGACCCGTTTATGAACCGAAACCGTTTAAACCGACCCGTTAATGACTTAATGAGTTAATGCACATCAATATCTGACATCTCTATAGTTTATATGTATATTATATATATCTGTGAGTCTGTGACTGTATATCAGTATTTATAATAAACTAATAATAACTTAATAAGTAATAATACTAATAACTAATAAAGTAATGAAAATCTAACCATTGTTTTTTCATGGGCATTCAATCTAACCGTTGTATATTTGACTATTCGTACATTAGTATTGCATAATGATTTCATCACCACTTTAATTAGTGATTTCGTGATTTCGTCCATTTAACTTATTAAGTTGTTTGAGTTAGTAATCTAAATAAAGTAACAAACTAAATAACGAATCCATTTAATCTCGTGTAAGTTATAATTTATAAGAAATGCAATGTTTGGAAATGAAAATTGATTCAATACGATATTGTTAATGTATATGTAATTATAGATTAATTATTATGTATATCATATCGTACGAATGTACGGTTGGTATCATTATCATACTATCATAAGTATCATTGCCTCGTTGAATTATTGGTATGTACTACAATCGATAAACATATTTACATATCTGATTATTAAAACTTAAAAGTTTAAAACACTTGTTGATCAATCTAATTGAATACTTGTACATTCTTAATTATCGATTTATCGTATTATAAGTATCAACTCATTAAATGGTCATGACGCGATCTTTAAAACAATCATGAATTCATGACCCAAACCGCTTATAAACCGAACCGACATGATCCAAACCGTTCATAAACCGAACCAATTGAACTGTGTAAACCTTCTACTAAACCGGCCCATTTCAAACTGAACTGACATGATTCGCACCGTTTATAAAACGAACCGATATTGACCCGGGTAATCCGCCCCTAAACCGACCCATTTCAAACCAAACCGGCTTGATCCAAACCGTTTATAAACCGAACTGACATTGACCCGGGTAAACCCACCCCTTAAACCGACCCGTATCAAACCGAACCGACATAATCCGAATCGTTTATAAACCGACCCGCTTATGACCCAAACCGAATTTAAACCGCAAAGAAATAAACCGAAACTAAACCGAGCCGTGACTAACCCAAACCGAACCAAACCGACCGCCAGCTAAACTAAACCGTTTTAATTCGAACCGCTCCAAACCGAAACCGACTCAAACCGAGGTCAAACCGAACCGCCAGACCGAAGTCCCACCCCTAGTCTGGATTATGCTATTTGCCTATACGGTCTTGGATGATGCTTATTTGCCTACGCCTCTGTTCTAGATAATTAAATATTAATGAAAACTATTATAAAAATTACATTATAAACCTTATATTAACACATTTCTAACAACATATTTTATTATAAATTTTATTTCTATTATAATAGTGAAAAATTATGGTCAAAATTAATGTATGAATAGTGAAAAACTCCAACGTCTTATGTATTATGGGATGGAGGGAGTATATAAGACCGAATAATTTGTCAAAAACTCCCCCCGTCTCATAATAACTAATCTTCCGTATTTTTTAGTTGAGAAATTATGGACCAATGCTTGTTATAGGCACCTCATGCCAATACCATAATATTTTGTTATTATTTTTATGAAAAACAAAACTATAATAAAAAGAAAAAAGGGGAGAAAAGTAAAGGGGGTAAAAAGTTGGGTAAACTATTTCCCCATAAAAAAACACTAGAGGATTACAGGGAGTTTCAAAAAATTGCGTCATAGTTAGGAATGGCAATGGGTAGGGTCTAGGTAGGGTCTAATGATACCCGGACTCGTATTCGGATCTTTCAATCCATACCCATACCCTACCGGACCCTTAGGGTCTAAAATTTTCAGACCCTTACCCGGACCCTATGGGTCTAGTAGGGACTGGGTAGGATCTAGGGTCTAATATGGGTCCTTCGCTAACCTTTTTTTCCCAAGTTTTAATTGTCTATTTTTTATTGTATGCTTAAAAAACAAATAAACTAATACATAAGAACATGACCGATTAGTTTGACATATCGTAAAACAATTAAATAAAAAATATTAAAATGATATATAAACGAATTATTATTATCCATAAGCACAATACAATTTAAAGTCTTGTATAATCAAGCGCACAACTAGAAAGTTAATAGCCTACTATTTATAACTGTATTTCGTATTATACTCGATTTCATCATTAACATCCTATAAAATCATTATCCTTAAGATTTTTTTCTATTTGATTTTGAAACTTTTTCTAAGTCAATATATTGTGTGGGTCTATATACGGGTTTGGATAGGGTATGAGTCTTAAGGGTCCGTGGGTAGGGTTCGGGTCTGAAAATATTATACCCAGACCCTAACCCTATCCGAGTGCGTATAGACCCATACCCTCTACCCATACCCATAGATCTAAGAAAATAAGATCCATACCTGTATTTCAGGGTAGGATCCGACAGGGTCTAGTAAGGTCTCGGACCCATTACTATCCCTAGTCATAGCTAGTGGCTATTCACCGAAAATTGGAGGAGAATCCAAATATGGTGGCTATTCATCAGAAATCTTAAGGGGAAGTAGGGCTCCTTTGTGGAACGAAATTAAGCGCAAAGCTCAGAGATCTATCTCCATGGAATTTGCAAGTTTTTGTTGATAATTCAATATACAATTCAGGTAGGACAATAATTCAGCATCTAAGTTGAATTTGGATGTTTTGGGGTTGAAGACGACGATGCGAATTATTTGATGGTGATAGCTATTATTGATTTTAATAATGTTATTGTTAATTTTATACTGTTATTTTGTTATTAGTATACAGTTATTGGCTGATTAGTATACTACTCCCTCTGATTTTTTTTAAATGCAACTTTTGCTATTTTAGTCCGATTCCAATTAAATGCAACTTTCTATTTTCGTTCTATTTTGGGTAAACAAAAACCCTTAAAACTACTATTTCACCCTTACTTTCCCACTACTTTTCCAAGTGGTGGGCCAAACTTTCTCTCTCCACACACTATATCACCTTTAATTAACCCCACTTTCACATACCCTTAAACTTTTGCATCGTGAACCGCACAAGGCCCCAAAGTTGCATTTAAAAAAAATCGGAGGAAGTATTATTGTTGCATATTCGATAAATTGTTTTTCTGAAATTTTAATTATTTTACTTGATTCAAATTGTTAAAAGTTATTTTATATGTGGATCTGAGTTTATATGCTTTAAGTTTTTTGGAATTTTTTATGGGTTTGATTTAAATGTTATCGTTTATAAAATTGGTTTAAGGTTGTGTTTATACTGTTATTGTTGATAAATATACTGTTATTGTTGATTTTATACTACTACTAGGTGTGAAGCCCGTGCAATGCACGGGTTTGGTAATTTTTTTTTTATTTGTTAAATAAGAACAGATAAAATCATAAATATGAAGACATCAATTATTACTGTAATGGATTAGCTATTACAATTATTTTTTAAGAAAAGGGAAATTGTTACAATTAATTAAAATCTACTTTTTATTAATAATATAATTAAAATTCAATTTGCTTATATTTTTTTGTCAATACTCCTTTCTTTTAAAGAATAAATAAATAAATACTCCACCTACCCTTTTCCGTGTTCTTTGGTCTGTTTACATTATGTTAGTTTATTAACTTCGTTTACAATTTTAATTCCATTTAAATACTCATGTGTAAGTCATATTCATAAAATAATTCAAATTATTTTATTCATACATTCTAATGTCTTTTAATTAAAATGTCTCATTATTTTTAAATATTAGAGTTGGCAAACTTCTCGTATTGTGTCAAGTTAACCCATTTAAACAGATATTTATTTATTTATTTTTCGACGGAAAGTATTTATTTCTCTAAAGCAAAGAATAAAATGGAAAAAAAAATTGTGGTTGCAACAAAATGGACCCATCTACGAATATGAAAGATATACAAATTAAAAAACTATAAATCTCGAAAGTTGTTACATAATAAAAAAATTAAAAGCTAACATAAGTATTATTTGTTACTATCATCTAAATATCTATTTCTTGAACATGGACTTTTATTATGTTTCAAGAGAATCCTTGATTCATAAAACTAAATCTGCATCATACACAAAGTACACAATTAAAGTGTTAATATTAGCATACTATTAAATAATCTATAAGATAAATTAGAAATTGTAAAAATATCTAAATGAATTATATATATCCTAAAACATATATGTCTTTATCTTCTTTGATGTGATTTGGTCGGATGAATCATTAAAAGGGCGTTTTGCGGTTTCTTCAACGACTGTAATTACATCTTTTGAAGTATCTTCATTATCTTTTATGACATCTTTATTCTACATCAAAATTATTTATGTAAAGTTTTAAGAAATTAAAATTTTAAATTCATGAATTCTAAATAAACATTAAATACTTGTAACAATTATTTAGTACCTCAATGACACTTTTGTCAAAAATTCTCATCACCATAAAAGTTTGTCGAATTGCTGTACGATTATAAGCGGTGATTTTAACTTTGAACACTAACTCTCTTCCGATGATATTTGCAATCATCTTTGGAATTTGTGTATCATCATCTTCATTGTCATTATCATCATCATTATGATCATTGATCTGTCAATTTTAATTGAAATAAGTGATAAAAGCATTTGTAGAACAATTTAATATTTTAACTATTGTTAAAGAGCAATTTTAAAAACCTTTTCATAAATATGAGCCTCAAAAAGAGTACTTGCATCTTGTCCTATTAATTTCTTAGCTTCTTCATCAAAAACTACAAATATTGTTTTCCCACTATTATCGATAACACTAAGCT